GGCAATATTAGAGCGACTGATAAAACCAATTTCGGTGGCGTTATTGCAATAAAGTTGAAAAAAATATATACTTATTATATACCACTTCTCAAAGTTTGGTGTTATGTTGATTGAACAAGAAGAGCGGCTCGTTTCCTTAGTTTATCGAGACACTGTCGACAAATGTAAAGTGATGTCTCTAAAAGTCTAAAACATCAAATGGCAACTGTCGAAGAGCCTCACTAGCGTTAAATTTCGTCTTCCCGGAATTGCAATTAGGACTGGCCATGATTTTAGTATTCGGTGCGCCCGAATAATTATCATATTATTATGCAGTTCATATTACGTCACCCTACACGATAAAGCCCGCTGTTCAGCAGACTGAATTTTCCCCGTTTAATTTCCGCCCCCCTAATTCAGTCTGCGAGCAGGCTAGAAAATCATGGTTTATTCGCAAATGACAGCCTGCAGCGAAGCTTGGATCTTCAATACAGCAATCAATCAACTCAGATTGTATTTTACAAATGAACGCACTTGCTAACCATACACTGAACTCGAAATTTCAATATTGAAATTTCTCGGAGCGTAGCTCTATTTCCGCCCCTTTTTGTTGAAGTTTTAACTCCTCGAACTGGAGTTCATGCAATCTTTGAAGTGAAGCTGCCTTTGCTTCTAACGCTGCCTTTTTTGCAGCAGCTCTGGCTTTGGCACTCGCTGAACTTCTCGTCGAACTTGCGTTAGATTTTCTAGACCTTAAGGAACTGACGCAATTAATCGATTCCTCGAGACGGATCTCAGCCGCTAAAAGTGTATTATCCTTCCGTTCCGTAACCTCGTACCCAGGATCTTTTCTCTGTGCTCCGTTCCGTTGTTTGCTCAGCCACAGAGGTACCTTTGTTTGATGTTTTTCCGCTTCTTCTAACACAATTGCGCAATAAAGAGTCGAGTTCGATTTCTCCTCTTCATTACCTAGCCTTTCGTGATAAGCTTTATGCGCGAGTTGAAATTCGTTCACAATTTCGTAAAGGTCGACAATGACAGCTTGGATCTTCGATTGTATTTTACAAATAAACGCACTTGCTAACCATACAATGAACTCGAAATCTCAATATTGAAATTTCTCGTTCATTGTATGGTCCGAGCGTGCGTTTCTTTGCGAACAAAACACTCACAACAGTCTCTATATAACCATAAATAAATCATGTAATATAGATAATACCTTGGCGTGAAGGATCGCTTGCTGTTCTTGATGTCGCAAAAGAACCGACAGACCTTAACAAACTAGTCCTATTTCTTCGCACTAAGAAGGCCTTTAATGTCTTGAGAAGCATTTCGGTCCGCCCAAGCGCAAGAGGCACAAACATAAACTGTAGCTAAAGCCTAAATGTGTACTTCGGTAATAGACTGATTGTCGCGAATTAGGTGATTGAAACGCATTCATCTATGTCCAACAGAATTGGTAGATATCAGCGCACATACAGTATAATTAGACAGTATAAAGACGTGAGATAATATTGCTATATGTAAATTGATACGTGGAATTTCAAAAGGGCAGTGAAGTTTATCAACGCCTGGGTGTTCTGTCTTTCTGTCTTGATATATAATGTTACAGATATATGATATAATTTGATAGTATTTCAAATCTAAATTACCTAAATTATTATTTCAAATCTAAATATAAATTAATTAAATTTTGTCAGAATTGTCTATTGGAAGCCAAATTTTCAAGTCGAGTCAAAAAAAGAATGGGTTTAATCCATCTCTTCGTGTTCACAGTTCAAGGATATGTTTTTTAAGACAACCTTAAGCGCGTTAAGGCCATGTTACACGGTTCAATTTTTCTTGCAACTTGCAATGCAATAGAAGAATTGCATTGCAAGTTGCATTGCAAAATTGCACCGTGTAACAGGGCCTTCAGGCATCTCGATTGTGCATATTGCACAGACGTAAACATATTTTTTACATGAAGGGGAAATTCATCTATTATACGAATGTCTGAAGTGCAATACTGATTAACACAATTAACACATTAACACAAAGGAATTAAAACCAGATGTTTCAATTTTATTTCATTTCAATTGTGTTTGGTGCGTGACCTTTGGGGTGAATACAGCAGTCAGAATTTTACCTCTTACTTTTTGAAACATCGTGTTCATCAGCACACCACTGCAGTAGCACCCCATCTTGGTTCGTGCATTGTCGGAAGTTCTTCCCAGGTGAAGGAATCAAATTTGAAACTTTCCGCAGAGTTCAGTTCATTCCCGCCATCGTCTTCACCTCCTATGACAAACACGGTGTCTTCAATCGTTGCTGCCGCACATCCTTTCCTCTTATACTTCATATTTGGTAACATGTGACTCTTCTGCGTCGTAACATTGTATATTAATACTCTGTCCATTGGTTCACCATCAGTGTCGACGCCTCCGAGTAAAATTACATTGTCATCGCCTTGTTTGACGGCAGCCATGTCACTCACAGGATAGGGCAATGGTGCTAACTCTTGACATTCACACCTCTCAATATCATACAGCAAAACACTTTTAAACGTTTTTCTATAGTTCATGTCTTTTCTACCTCCCAGAATGACAATCTTATCACCAAACAACGAGGCACAATGTGACCATCTTGGCTGGGGCATGGTAGCCAGCTCTCTCCTGGTATATGGTGGGACAAGAGAAACCTCGGTAATCTTGTTTGAATACGCACCAACGCTACAATCATACCCTCCAATTACTATTAACCGTCCATTATAGACGAAACTGGAGTGACCATATAACGACGAGGATAGTTCAGCAGGAACGATTTCCCAGGTTATGGACTGATCAACGTGAACAGCATTCGTTGATATTTTCTCAATTGCTTTCGATCCACTGCCTAAAAAACCACCAATGACGAAAATTTGATTGTTGTAAACAACCGAAGATGCTACCTGACGGCATTCTTTCATCGGCTGAAGCAGCGTCCACGTTGCAGTTGAGGGATCGAACATCTCAACGGAATTCAAACATTCACTATTCTTGCCTCCAGCAACAACAATCTTCCCCTCTCTTTCAATTCTACCCGCTTTTGCGAGACCTTTTTTTACGCCTTCTCGCCCAGCCAGAACTACGTGCAGTGTTTGCTCTGTCAAAAACTCCAACTGTTGCGACAACTGATTTAAAGTTTTCTTTATTTCTATATTGTCCGCTTTGAGTTCCTGGTTGCTTTCTTCCTGCTTATTGAGTTGTTTGTGAACCAGTTCAACTTTTGCGATTACATTTTCCTCCACTGCTTTGATATTTCTCTCACTTCTTTTCAGCTTTTCCCCGACTTCGTTCAACTTTACATTCATCGCAGCCAAATTATTTTTGACCACATCCATCTCACGACTTATACCACTGCAGTTGTGACATTTAATCCTACGTTTTTCACACGCACCGCCGTCGTGATGCATTAAGTCTTGCCTATTCACTTCTAGACCACAGCCTTTGTTCGCACAGACCACTGGAGAAAACGCACATTCGGCAACATGCCTTTCAAGATCTCCTAACTCGACAAACATTTCACAACCGCGGTTGAAGAATTCGCAGCGAATCTTCAACTCTGAAAGTAGGTTTGTCAAGGTCCGCGATGCTTGGGTTAAAGTATTGACTGTTAGTTGCTCCATACATACCGGACATGTTCGAGAGTTCACGAGATGCCTGGTGATACAAGCTCGACAGAACAAGTGTTCATTACGTCGACACATGACTGGATGTTTCATGACATTGTAGCAAATACCACAATGAAATGTCTGGCTAACAGGATATTGAAATAGTTCATCTTCATAACCTGTTTCGTACGATGCCATTTCCTGTTTTCACCTGTTCAAAAAATAACAAGTTTAGAAACTAGAGTATACCTAGCCACTGATCTTAAGACTATATTGGAAAATGCATCTGGCATTCATACTTGAAGCCATCTTGGTGAAGTGATATTGTTACTATGGTTCGTAAATCCTGATTAAGGGGCTGTTCACATGAGCGTAAAAGGTATTGAGGTATTGAAATGAGAAAACACGATTCCGGTAGTCGTTTGATCATCCTAACAATGAATAGCATGTGATTGTTCTATTTTAAAAAGATTCTTTTTACCTTAAAGTCCATTTTATGCTTCGTTAAATCTCGGTAACTGGGCTCATGTGAACAGCCCCTAACACGGTGAACGGGACAAAAACTCGTTATTTGAATAACTAATGAGCTCTTAACAGGATGCCTCGAATCTCATTATTTTTTATTATTTAAAATCTAATAAAATAAATAAAATAACCAGTGAGCTCACACTAATATGGCTGCTTCAAATCAAATAGACCTTTCTTATAATGACGTCAAACGCGAAAAGTCTGATGTTGCACGAAATTTGATTGGTTCCACAAAACTAACGGGCCAATCAAACTTCGTGTAACATCAGACTTTCCACGTTTGACGTCATGATGAAAAAGGTCCGTTCCACGCTCTACTTGCTAATTTAGATTCGATTCCTAACAATTCGGTTTGTGGAGAAATTGACAGGATTGAAAATATCGGCTTGAAATATATTGATGTTCTGATTTCAAAGATAACTCATTCAATTCAAAAACAAGCCTGTATACTTCCAAAAGCCAGTCCTTCGGAGTTTTTTTGTCCAGCCAGTAAATATATCACGTTGAGCCCACATCAGCCTAAATCAAATATCTCGACTTAATTAATTGAACACCCTACATTCCCAAAAGCCTGCATTCCTAATACGCGCCATTTCCAACAGGCCGCATTTTAAGCATTCGCATTTCTACATCTCCGCGTGAGTCAATATGGATGAATGTGGACCAAGAATGTGAATTCTTACGACAACATTAGAAACACACATTCATGCAAACAATACTGCATTAACACTACATGAAGTAAAACATGTACCAAACATACGCCGACGTTACATAGAAACAGCGGTTGGTGACATGATACCAGCTTTAATTTAATTTATGCTGCCATACGGCTGTCTTTGTTTACCAAATGGCGTGACTGGCGTCTATATCACATACTTTACCGTGTCATGAAATTGTACGAATAGCGACATGCAGTATTTTTTTACGTATACGTGTCGTAGCTTTGGTGAATCTTAATAAGCTCGCCAGTGAGCAGTTAGAATATACCTGGGCCTGGATGACTTAAATATTTGATATCCGTGAAGGAAAGAATATTTGCATCAACTAACAGATTACAGACACTTAATTCTTAAAGTTGATACTTGCGGTAAAATACGGCAGGCAATTGTTTATATCAATCATTATCCTCTGCCTATAAAGAAGGCTCGAAGTTAAAAATTTGGTTGAAACTATAAACTTTAAGATCCCCAAGAACTGATCGATATTGAACTCAGTCAATACATTGTAGTTGTAATATTTGTATACAAATAGGCTACGCTTGTTCACGTGGCGCTATCGTTTAGATATGCCTTAATATTTAAACTCTCACCTTGGCTTTGGTTCCTTCCTCACAGAATTTCAATCACTCTGGTTCATTTGAACGACTAAAGAAGCAGATATAAGTCTTCCAGAAGGCCCGACGAAATATTTCAGGTCAGTCTGTGTTGGTTTCATTAAAAGGTGAATATTCAATTACACGGAAATGACGACATTGTAGAGTTTTTACAGCATTTTTATTATCCTTAAAAGCGTACGTGCCTGTTACAGAAATAGGCCATAGCAGCAGCTCAACAGGCGCCTAACATATATCTTTCATAGCTGTTTATAATATATCCGAGGTGATGCAGAACCCACCAACAAAGCCGTGCAATAAAAATTCCTTTGTCTATCGGCAATTAAAGTACAGCATCGCATCACTGTACACTACAATCTTTCATGGACATGATCAGTCAAGACATTTTTTCCTCTGTAAATAATTCGTATATCAACCAGTTCTGATGAACTCTTATATAGAATCGTAACACGCATCTCAGACCATAGGTGGCCTACAGGCTAAGCTTGGCAACGTTATCACGAATTGGCAACGATCAAGGACATTCTCATGCAGACAGACGTTCTCACGGAAGTTTTCCAGGCGGTATAGGGATCCTTCATACCAACGGGTTAATGAACCTGTACCGATAAGTTCAAGAGTCCATGATTCGTATGAACTGCCTGCTTGAAGGCAGCAGAAAGACGGGCAGTGTTTACACTTCTATATATGACAGTTTTTGTACCGAACGATAGGGGTATCACCTTTAGACTCAATGTACCGATAGCCAATATTACTTTCATTTGGAACAAAATGTGGGGCATATTTCATTGAAGTTATTTTTACATTATATTATTGCAATCAACGCTTTCAAAAAACCCTTTTTTGTTAAGGCGATTGTGTAATAGCCCTTGATAGTCGATTATGTCTTTGGAAAACGACGTACCAAGCTCATATTATACAAATAAATTGCATCTTAAAAATTTAATACAGCAAATACGGAATAAGCAAAGTCCAGAAGCACGTACCTGTCATTTCAAAGATTATGGATTTTAAATCGTTTCCAGTTCGTTGTTCAATCTTGAACTGCACCCTTTTTGATTTTGATAATGATTTTTTCTAATGATTTTTATTGGATCTGTTATACTATTTTTCCAAATTTGTATGATGTAATGTTTATAAAATAGTTTTATAGATTACTTGAATAGACATGTAGTGAAAGTGAATACAACAAATCAGTAGGCTGCTGATTACCAGTCTCCGGCGTTCGTTTAAATCTTGCGCATAACTAACAGAACCATCCATAGATTTTAGACGACTTTGGATTCCGCTATGCATGTTCTGTTACAATACCCGGGTATATTTCCTCATCTGCCAGCGGGTTTGGGGACAAGACCTTTTTCCATGTTTTGTTTAACATTTAATTAATATTTGAATCCCATGGGGAAATTATGTTAACTAGAAAGTGTCATCTTCGGAAATCGCAAGAATTCCCGACGATGCAATCTTATTTTGGATTGGTTTGAAGAATTTCCTTACCAAAAGTATCGACTATACGTTATATAACAAGAGTTCTACCAAAAACAATACATTCATAGAGGAAATAACAAAATAGCTATTTATACCAAAAAGTTTATCTTCTTACTTATTTTACAGCTATAGTAGCGTAACCAGCCTGACGATTTGTCGACGTGCTATATATGCTAATATTTTGGTGTTCATTGACTGTGAAAACAATAAATTTCTAAAGAAATGAATAATATTGATAACTCGAAATTTACATAGCAGGACAAAATCGTCAGGCTGGCTTCGCCACTGCGGATGCAACCATTTGGTTATATGTACAATTTTGGTTACAATTATAGGCAAAGTGTAATGTTTTGATCGCGAAGCTAATTGTTTTGGCCCTTCGCAGAAAACGTTTAAGTGTCAAAACAAATGTGTTTCCGTTAAAAATCTTATTGATTTAAACTTTTCAAAACCTTGTTTCGGGTGCGCGGTTAATGAAAGCTTGCAAATGGTTGTATATTTCTAAAGTTCTCAGGAGGTAACTTAAGTTTCAGCCGGTCTATTAATTAAGCAATTTAAGCTTTTCTACTGCAAAATCTGTTCAGTATTACTGTCTCCCCTAGTAAAGGTCTTGATATTTCTACAACACTTGTCCTTTATCTCGGTATAGGTTGACTGCTCCTACAACACCGGTTCTTAGAATTTCAACGCCCAATCTATTATTGCTGAACTTTGTAAATTCTTCAGTAACTGCCTTTGTAGCTACTTTTTTAAATTCTGGATCAAAAGCTGTTTTGGCAGCTTTTGGTAAAGCTTTTTGAATGAAATTTTTAGTTGAAGTGTCCACCAGATTCTCAAAGACTTTCTTTCTGGCACCTGTTAAACTAGCTGTTCCCATCAGACCTTCTTTAACAACAGAAGCCGCAGTCAGCTTGCTGCTTCCTTTGAATATTTCATCTATGGTCTGTTGCGGAAGGTCTTTTATAATCATTCCAAAAGCCTTTCCAACTTTCTTTCCTGTTTCCTTAGTAGCTTTCTTAATACCCTCTTTTGCAAATTCTTTTCCCAAATTTTGACCGATTTCTTTTTTCGCTTCTTTCGTAAGTTTCTTTGTGACTTGTTTTGCCTCTTTGACGGCGGTTTCTTTGGCAGTCCCTGTCAAACCATTTTTAGCGATGTTTTTTGCTAATTTTCGACCTTCCTTTTTCTTTATATCACTGGTAGTTTCTGATACTAAAGTTTTAGCCGTATTTATGACAGCTTGGCTTGGACCAGCTTTGAAGACGGCTTTTATTTCTTTTTTTGTCGCTGCCTTTGCTTGTTCTTTTGCCTTTTGTATGATAGCTAGCTTACAACTTTCTCTCGATGCCTGAGTTGCTGTACCCGCCATGCCAAATGTGAAGGCATCTACAATGGTAAATACTCCCTCAATTGCTGCTCCATGATAATCACCACGATAAAACGCCGAGTGTAATATTTCAGCCACACTAATCCCTATAGGAAATGCGGGATTCCAAATTGATAAAGCTGCTTTCGCTGCTGTCATCGCACCAGTGTGTGCCCAGGAAGTCCAAGACATGATGTATGAAATCTAGAAAATAAATACAGGATATTACACGGTTGCGAGTAAATATGGATTTTATGTTCGAGTGGCAAAAGTAATATCTATACTGTTTTTGATACGAGAACATAAAATCCATATCTTCGAGCGAACCGTGTCATGTTCTGTTTAATATATGGACTAAAATCAGAATGACAAAAATACACACAAAGACGCCAAGTAAGACGCCGCGAAAGACCATTATAAAAGCGAATATTTTTTAAATTATAGACTAAACTTTAAAATAGAATAAATTTTGCTTATATCTTAAGATGACTTTTAAGTGTTTTCGTTTGTATTTCCAACGTTAAATTCGAAACTTGTTATGTCACTCCTAAACGTGACATACGGAAAAATCCGCACCGTACCCCGGATGTAGTGGCGTATGAGTTCTACGAGTGTTTTAGTTCTCAGTAAAATACCCCCCTCCATACAATAAAATCAGTAATTTAGTGTGTTTTTTCTTATACTGCATGGTGTAATAACAGAGGTGTAATAACACCTCTAAAATGCCTTAAAAGTGAATGCAGGGGAGTACAAAATTTCAGCTGTAAAAACTCTATTGTTGGATTTAAACTAACACAATTTAAAGAGTTAAGGATTTGGCAAACTATAATTTAGCTTGCAAATTTAACACCACCTAAAGGGGTGTTAAGCAGTGTAACACCGAATACACCGAATTGATATTGATCGTACTGAATATTTGTTTAAAATGATATCGTTTCATTTACTCTTTAAATAACAGTTCAACAGTATATGTATCAGTATTACTGCAGTTTTGCTATTTTACGTTTAATTTGTTTACTTCAGAAATAACTGTAGATTATTTGTAAAAATCAATGTGAGAATTATGACCCAGATAAATAGTTTGTAAGGTGTTTGTTTTTTCTCAAAAGAAAAGTGTTATCTTTCACACCGATAATTTCTACGAGGTGCAATAGGCCTACTTTTGGAAAATGACTAGCTTTCACACGGTCAAATGCGCGGTTTTTGAAATTATTGTTGAGAGTTACGACCCTCAACAATACGAATCGAGCTCATGGGTATAATTTTTAAATATTGCTTTATATTTTGCTTGAACGTGAACCACATGAAAGCCCTTTCTTTCTCATGCAATTTCTTCAATACAACCAGGAATGGGAATGAATATAAGTGCCCCCTTTTGATAAGAGGATGTTTAATAAGAGAATGTACTGTATTATCTTAGTTTTTGACTATAGGCTTCGATTCTTTCTGCTGTTTCTAGACTGGTATTGTATTCGCTATGACTTCCCGATTCAACCAAAAGAAGAAAAAACTAACTGTTTTAGAGCAAATGATATTATTTCGACATAATACAGTTACCTTCAACTGTCTGAGCTTAGTTTCAATTTGTGTTGCATACACCCTAAGAACTAAATATAGAAATGCCCGGAAATTAAGATATTGTGAAGATTAAACCTAATTGGTTAAAGATTTCCGCACCCCATAGCGATTGTGTAATGTTTACCGTTTATACTTATCCGAAATTTTTGTGGTCCATGTATACCTTCATCACAGTATTTAAATATGTAAACATCTTTCGATGACGTAAACATCTTTCGATTTCCTTTGAAGTTCTGTGACTGAAGACTTTAAACACAGACTTTGCTCACTGAAACTTTGGTAGTGTAAATCTGGCTTAACTGTAGTTGTGTTTTGTCACATACCCCATGTGAGGTGCAGCCGAGCGTTTTAGTCAGTTCAAACACGCATGCAGGCTTAACTTTAGCTGTGCCTTATATAAGGAATACTTAGTGCTATTTTTATCAAAAATCACATTTATTCTCAGTCTAAACAAAGAATAAGATGAATTTTGGTCAGTGGCATCGGAGGCAAGCTGTGCTGTTTTCCATTACTTTCGCTTTGCCTGCGTGGGCAAAACTGTCTTTAAAAACCTGCTCATGCGTCCATAACTGGCTTCAAAGACAACCGCGTTTCGCCCTCTCAAAGGAAGAGAACTTAATAGAAAGCTGCTCGAAGCAAGGATACGTGCAGTTTTACCCGAATCGAATCTTCCTTTGATCATCGTCCTAAACAGTTTCTGATTTTCCCCCGACTTTCAGATATATCATATTCAATTTCACTGCATTTTCACTCTGATTGTCTTTTCAAAATAATTGTCTTTCTCACACTCCTCACCCCCTCATTAATTACTCACACAATCTGATTGGCTGAGCTACTCACTTTATATCAAGCTCATAAGCAGGTAAAACAATGATAAGAATTTAAAAAACGTTTGCACATTAAATTGTTATAAAGTTCTCGCTACAATTATACCATTCGCTATCGTCGTTTTGGGTGATATAACCAAGTCGGTTTCGGCTCGTTTCCGTTGGCTAATCGGCTAAATATTGCTTTCATATAATTAATGCTTCAAGCCTTCAACGTTTACGATATGACACCTGAAGCCGTTATTTCAATACAACCATGCAGACATCGGAATGAATATAACTGGAATGCTACCTTCTAATATGAGGATGTTAATATTTGTACTTCCTGAACTGTATTATTTGAATTTCTGTTGATTACCTTCGATGGTTCTAGACTGTAGGTATTCCCTGTGATTTCTCGATTTGATCAAACTACGTTAACCATGCATATATGACATCTAAAGCCCTTTCTCTCATGCAAATTTTTCAAACAACCAGACATGGATATAAATGAAACGCCCCCTTCTAATAATGGTAATTAGAACTCCCTGAACTGTGTTATTTTAGTTATCAACTTTACTTCGATTTTTTCTACGGTTTCTATACTGCATGGTATTGTATTCGTTATGACTTCCCGATTCAAGCAAAAGAAGCGAAAACCAATTGTTTGACGTAGTGGAGACCAAATATTCGGACGTAATACAGTAACATTCAACTGTCTGGGCTTAGTTTCAATTTGTGTTGCTACACCCTAATAACTAAATATAGAAATCCCGGAAATTAAGGTATTGTGAAAATTAAACCTAATTGGTTAAAGATTTCCGCACCCCGAAACGATTGTGAAGTGTTTACCGTTTATACTTATCCAAAGTTTCTGTGGTCAAAATATATCTTCATCACATTAACTAAAAATTAAACTTCTTTTGAGGACGTCAGTCGTTTTTGCGTTAACGTTCTTTGAGCGAAGACTTTGGTTACTAAAACTTTGGCCTGATGTCTTCGAAACTTTGGCAGGGTAAATTATGCAGGCTTAACAGCAGGAGTATTTTCTCATACCCCATGTGAGGTGCTTGCTTAAATAGTTCAAACACGCAGCCTTATATATTTTTTCTTATACATTTTCTCACGAATACTTTGTGCTCTTTTTATCAAAAATCACATTTGTCCTGAGTCTGAACAAGGAATAAGGATGAATTTGTGCTGTTTTCCAGTACTTTCGCTTTGCCCGCGTGGGCAAAGCTTTCTTTCAGAATCGGCTCATGCATCCGTGACGTGTTCAGAAGTAAAACGCGTTTCGCCAGCTAAAGGAAAAACAACCTAATAGAAAGGTACCTGAAGCAAGAATATAGTTTTACCCGAATCGAATTTTCCTTCAATCCTCGTCTCATACAGTTTGTGATTTTCCCCCGACTTTTAAATATTATATTCAATTTCACTGCACTTTCACTTTCACTGTTCGCAATCAATCACAAAAGAGACGCCACATAATATACGACGAGCGGTGAAAACAGCAAGTAAAACAATGATAAAAATGTAATAAAAGTTTGCACATTTTACTTATTTTATTCGCTACAATTATACTATTCGCTATCGTGGTTTTGGGTGATATAACCAAGTCGGTTTCGCCTCGTTACCGTTGGCTTGTCGGTTAAATATTGCTTTTATACATTGCTTTATCGTTTACCATATGATATCTAAAGCCATTCTATCGTTTACCTTATGATATCTAAAGTAATCCTTTCAATACAAACAGACATCGGAAGAATATAACTTGAATGCTACCTTCTAATACGAGCATGTTAATATTTGTACTTCCTGAACTGTATTATTTTTATATTAATTCAGTTCATTACCTTCGATTCTTTCTGCTGGTTCTATAGACTGTGTATTGTATTCGCTCTGACTTCTTGGTTTGATCAAGGAAGCAAAAACTGGTTGTTTGGCGGATTGGAGCGTAATTAGGTCACTGTCAACCGTCTGTGTTTAGTTTCAGGTTACGTTATACCCTAAGTCATAAATCCCGTAGTCCTAAATATACAATTTCCCGGAAATGATAACATTGTTAAAATTAAACCTGATTGGTTCATGCAAAACTCGGATGTCCTTGAATGTCCTTGAATTTAAAATAAATAATTGATGGCCTTAATTTATAGCTTGAAAGTCCTTGATTTGTAAATTTTCTTGATCAAACCTTTGTAAACATGACAGTTTACGCAGGAATTTCTTTTTTCTGAAGTAGAAAAAATTCCTTCTTTAATGTGTATTTCTTGCGTCACTTTTGTAGTTTTGATTTTTATACAACTCGATCGCGAGGTCTTACTAGTCCTTGAATTTCCTAAGATATGTCCTTTAAAGTCCTTAAAAAGTTCCTGAATTTTACCGCTTTTCAATTGCACAAACACTGTTGAAGATTTGCCTAGCCCGAAACGATTGTGTAGTGTGGCCCAGTTTTTACTTATCCGAAATTTCTGCGGTCCAAGTATACCTGCGAAAACCAATTGTTTGACGTAGTGGAGACCAAATATTCGGACGTAATACAGTAACATTCAACTGTCTGGGCTTAGTTTCAATTTGTGTTGCTACACCCTAAAAACTAAATATAGAAATCCCGGAAAGTAAGGTATTGTGAAAATTAAACCTAATTGGTTAAAGATTTCCGCACCCCGAAACGATTGTGTAGTGTTTACCGTTTACACTTATCCCAAGTTTCTGTGGTCAAAATATATCTTCATCACATTAACTAAAAATTAAACATCTTTTGAGGACGTCAGTCGCTTTGGCGTTAACGTTCTTTGAGCGAAGACTTTGGTTACTAAAACTGTGGCCTAACGTCTTCGAAACCTTGGCAGTGTCAATTATTCAGGCTTAACAGCAGGAGTGTTTTCTCATGCCCCATGTGAGGTGCTTGCTTAAATAGTTCAAACACGCAGACTTTCTCAAGAATACTTTGTGCTCTTTTTATCAAAAATCACATTTATCCTGAGTCTAAACAAGAAATAAGGATGAATTTGTGCTGTTTTCCAGTACTTTCCCTTTGCCGGCGTGGGCAAAGCTTTCTTTCAGAATCGGCTCATGCGTCCATGACGGACTTCAGAAGTAAACTGCGTTTCGCCAGCTAAAGGAAAAACAACTTAATAGAAAGGTACCGGAAACAAGAATATAGTTTTACCCGAATCAAATTTTCCTTCAATCCTCGTCTCATACAGTTTGTGATTTTTCCCCGAATTTTAAATATTATATTCCATTTCACTGCACTTTCACTTTCACTCTTCGCAATCAATCACAAAAGAGACGCCACATAATATAAGACGAGCGGTGAAAACAACAAGTAAAACAATGATAAAAATTTAATAAAAGTTTGCACATTTTATTTATTTTACTCGCTACAATTATACTATTCGCTATCGTGGTTTTGGGTGATATAACCAAGTCGGTTTCGCATGCATGGTTACCGTTAGCTTGTCGGTTAAATATTGCTTTTATACATTGCTTTATCGTTTACCATATGATATCTAAAGCCATTCTATCGTTTACCATATGATATCTAAAGCAATTCTTTCAATACAAACAGACATCGGAAGAATATAACTTGAATGCTACCTTCTAATACGAGCATGTTGATATTTGTACTTCCTGAACTGTATCATTTTTATATTAATTCAGTTTATTACCTTCGAATCTTTTTGCTGTTTCTATAGACTGTGTATTGTATTCGCTCTGACTTCTTGGTTTGATCAAAGAAGCAAAAACTGGTTGTTTGGCGGAGTGGAGACCAAATATTTTAACGCAATTAGGTCACTGTCAACCGTCTGTGTTTAGTTTCAGGTTGCGTTATACCCTAAGTCATAAATTCCGAAGTCCTAAATATACAATTTCCAGGAAATGACGACATTGTTAAAATTAAACCTGATTGGTTAAAGTAGGGCTCGTACAAAACTTGGATGTCCTTGAATGTCCTTGAATTCAAAATAAATAATTGATGGCTTAAATTTATAGCTTGAAAATCCTTGCATGATTTGTAAATTTTCTTGATCAAACCTTTGTAAACATGACAGTTTACGCAGGAATTTCCTTTTCCTGAAGTAGAAAAAATTCCTTCTTTAATGTGTATTTCTTGCGTCACTTTTGTAGTTTTGATTTTTATACAACTCGATCGCGTCTTACTAGTCCTTGAATTTCCTAAGATATGTCCTTGAAAGTCCTTAAAAAGTTCCTGAATTTTACCGCTTTTGAATTGCACAAACACTGTTGAAGATTTGCCTACACCGAAACGATTGTGTAGTGTTTAAGGCCCAGTTTTTACTTATCCGAAATTTCTGCGGTCCAAGTATGCCTTCATCACAGTAATTAAAGATGTGAACATCTTGAAGACGCCGGTTGCTTTGAAGTTCTGTGACTGAAGATTTTAAACACCGACTTCGGTCACCGAATTATTGGCAGTGTAAATCACCAGGAGCCGGTTGTATCAAGCCCGTTTAGCTTAAACGGTGGATAAGTCAAAATTAAATAACGCTCTTACATCTCTCTTGAATGAGTAAACTTGAATATTATGCACTGAATATGCAGTTGTAAACAGTATCTTTGTATTATTAAGGTTAAGAACATTTAGTTTGCTTCTGGAATAAAACGACAGATTTGCTTTCTATTTTGAATTTAACCACCGTTGATACAACCGGCCCCAGATATAGTGATATGAAATAGCGGAAAAGGATTGGGACTAGTTTTGACCACTAGTCTATTGTCAAAATAGATATACAAATAGGTATACTAAAAGTCTATTGTTTTTGTTTTCAACTGGAAACAACTTTATAATATCTCTTGAAATACATTTGATTTCAGTTCAAATTTATGTCAGAGCTTCGATGCTTCGAGCAAAATTTCGACTAGTTTTATAAATAATAACAAAATCATGGATTAAATATTGCAGAATCGGTTTCCATTTCGACAATCTTTACTTTTTGTCACATACCGATCATACCCCATTCAAACACACAGCCTTATTATTATTTCTTAATTAATATTTCCCTTAAAATTGTTTAAAAAAGGAGAAAAAAAACTCCAGCCTTTTACTACAAGATTTCGTGGTGTAGGAAACACTCTAAAGTGAGTGAGAACAAAACCAAGGCGCCAACCCGACAGGACATTACTTTTAAATTCTTGTAAAAGCGATCAATATGGTTGTGCTATGGCGGGTTTTAATTTGTGACGTCCGAAATTAGGCTTCTAATCATTAAAGATAAAAAGCAATCGCACCGTAACCATTAGCTTCACGAAGGCCGCATATAACTAACTTATGGAAACGCTGGGGTTTGTTCAAAGGACTGCACACCTGTGTTACTAATTTTGGCGTTAACACGAATGGTCGAAATTAGTTTTAAAGACACGATTTAATTATTCCCATTGCATTTAACCGTTATTCAGAGTTTGAATGCCTAAGCACTCTGTTGGGACCCATAAGTGTATAAATGTTTGCCATAAGCATTTTTATGCATGATGCAGTAAAATTTCCTTTGTCGACCTTCGTCGAAAAAGCGTTTCACACTTCCGTTGTACTTTGGCCCGTCTTTGGGTACGCGTATAATTTATCACAATAAACACTCGTTATTCCGCGGTCAGCTGTACCATTTTCTTTCGAAGCAATAACAAGGCTAATCTAAATTTAATCATATTCACAATTTCAGCATTTTTTCGTATTTAGCAATTTATAAGTTGCATTATATCCTCACGGGCTAAAATTCGTGAACACGTCATTCAAATTTTAACAATGAGTGATTTCAATAGTTTTCGTTTTTTTGAGACACCCTGAAGTGGTAATAGGAAGAACTCGAAATGAAATACCTATAGGAATATAACCGTTTAACACAAGTTCTCGTGGTCTAGTGGCAAAGAGAATGTTTGCCAATTGGGTAAGTCGATGGTTCGAATCCAAGTGTACCTGTTTTTCATTATGTCCTTCGCGAAAAGGATAAAGTAAATTAAACAACCATGGTCTTTCAGCACCGGATCTCGTAGTCAAGTGGCGAAGACAATGGCCTCCCAAGTGGTAAATCGGTAGTTCGAATCCAAGTATATCTGTTTTATACTATGTCCTTCGCGAAAAGGATGAAATAAATTAAATAACCATAGCCGTTCAGTACAAGATCTTGTAGTCTACGGTGGCGAAGACTGTGGTCTTCCAAGTGGAAAGTCGGTGCGAATCCGAGTGTATCTGTTTTTCATTATATCCTTCAAAGAAAGGCCGTTCAGCACAAGATCTTCTAGTCTAGGTCTCCCAAGTGGTAAATCGTTGGTTCGAATCCTACCATAACCGTTTTTTATTGTGAACTTCGTGAAAAGGATTGATAAAGTAAATTAAATAACCATAGCCGTTCAGCACACGATCTCCCAGTCTAGTGGTGAAGACAATTGAGTCCCAAGTGGTAAGTCAGTGGTTCGAACTCGAGTGCTCCTGTTTTTCATTATATCCTTCGAAGAGAGGATAAAACAAATTAAATAATAATAACCGTTCAGCACAAAATCCAGTGGTCTAGTGGCGAAGGCAATGGTTTCCGAAGTGGTATGTCGATGGTTTGAATCCAAGTACCGCTATTTTTCATTATGTCCTTGGCGAAAAGGATAAAGTAAATTAAATAACTATGGCCGTTCAACACAAAATGTAGTGGTCTGGTGGAGAAAACAATGATCTCCCAGGTAGTAAATCGATGGCTCGAATCCTACCATAACCGTTTTTCATTATGAACTTTGTGAAAAGGATCAAGTAAATTAAATAACAAGAACCGTCGAGCACAAGATCTTGTAGTGTTGTAGTCAAGACGATAGTCTCATGTGTCAACAGTCAAGGGTTCGAATCTCGTTTTAGATGAAAATTTTCGTTATTAATCAAATATGGTAAGGTTATGGTGAATAAGTTGGTGTAGGCTTCCAACAATCACCAGTTAGCCTTGTGGTAAAGTCGTGGACTGTCAAGTACAAGATCGTGGTATCAAGAACAGTATGGGACGTTCCTCATGGCGGTGGAAAGCAAAGAAAAAAAAAATGGTGGGTATGTTGCTCGAAGGAGGTTTGTACTCG